GCTCCAAGGCCTGCCGGGAAATGAAGCGGGGGGCTTTAGGACCCAGGAACTAAGCGCTGGGGTTTACTGAGGGAACCCGAAGGCGGGTACTGGTTCAGAGCTCAGGCTTCTGCATTCAGCTCTGGCTTCACCACCTAACTGTGTGACTTTTTGCAAACTCCTTAACTGCTCTGCACCCCCATCTGTAAAACGGGGATAAGAGTTGTGTAGGTTGGGGGTAAGGCTTGTAAAACCCCGGTGCATGAAGCCTAACTCTGAGCAAGCACTCTAAAAGGTGAGCTGTTGTCTAGCCGATGAGATGCTGACCGGGTCTGATACTCAAGCCCTCATGCTGGGCTTTCATCATATTATCACTGCCCAACCCCGTGCCCCAGAACAGACAGCTGAACACATCTTGGTCCCTTGATTCTGAGCCCGAGTGACTGCTTAATGACTAACCACACCAGCCTGGTACATGGAACATCAGACCATGTCGATCAGCCCCAATATAAATCCAGAATAAATCAATCACCCTTTGTGCCTACCTCTTCTTACTTTCTTCTTTCATAATTACATGATTCGTACCAACTGGTCAGTGTTTCTGCTGGAGAAAACCAAGGGAATGATGTAAACCAACAGAATGGGCTACAATCAATAGGGGGTAAGTTTGCACTCTTAAAACAAAGTAATTATCATTTTTAAAAGATGGTCTTATGATGCTAAAAATTTACATCCCTCATTCAAGAAGGTGGGGTTCTACTAAATGTCACCGAACCAGCTTTGATGACAGGATTTACGAGGCTGTGCCAGATTGTGATGATAAAGCGTTCAAAGGTATATGTCACCTATAAATATAACCACATCTCGACTCATAAAAATAGACTTCCTATTGAAATAGAATCTTCTTTCTGGGCACTGCTAAGTGAAGTAATTTGAGATTTTCCTAAATTGTAATGAGGGAGTTGGTGGGGATGGTGTTTTTCCCATTTGTGGAGATGACCATCTATTATACGGATTTATAAATTGATTAATTGTCTGGAAGATTTGAGAAGAAAAATGCTGTTCTAATAATTTCGTACAATCCTGGGTTAAACGCAGAGGATTTGGCCAAAGGAAGATTAACATAAGCAAGAGTCTAATACATTTTATGTGAGAAATCAGGGTATTTTTTTAAAACTGTTTTTAAAAAGAAAGCTATAGCAAAACGCCTAGGTTCCTTACTCCTTAGCAAATGATTCCCCAGACTAGAGCGTAAGGTCCAGAAAGTCAGTATCTTTGCCCACCTCCTTAACTATGGGCATCCTATGGGTGCCTAGAACAGTGCCTGGCATAGACACCAGCACTCACTAAATATGTCCTGAATAAAGGAATTAAACAAATTAATGAAACTAAATGACTTAGCAAGTGGTAGGGTGCTGGTGGTCCTTTTCTATCTGAATTCTGAGCAGTTATAAATGTAAACACAATCAGATCAAAGCCAAAAAAAGGAGCAGGGAGGTGACGTCACATGTGAATTTGGGAGCACATTGGAAGAGAAGAAAACTCAGTGTCAGTGGAATTTATCACTACAAAGTTTTCATTCCTCGTGGAAATTTCCAGAGCCTATGTTGTAAACCATCTAACAATGGGTCATTTATGAGGAGCAACCCGTTTGCTTAAGTAACTATGTGGCATCAGCGCCATCTGCTGGGTAACCAGTTGGACAGTTACAACCAGTTCTGAAAAACTTTTTTTCATATAGCAAATTAAATTTACAATGACAGAAAATTATATAGGAAATCTCTTTAGAGATCATCTAGGCCATATGTCATCTTACAGGTAAGGATATTCCTTAAGTAGGTACAATCTTTCTACTGATGCCACAGCACCCCAAAGTCACGTCTCAGAGAGAAGACTGAAACTACAGCCATCAGTACTTAATTGTATCATGAGTCTCATATAAATCATAAACGGAGAGAGTTAAACTCCATTTGTCGAGCATCTGAAGAGTTCTGTCCAACAGAAATTTATGTAACGATGGAGCAACAGAACTTTCTGTGATGATCTTTATCGGTGTGTGCTATCCAATACAGTAGCCACTAGCTATGTGCTTAGGAAACATCTGAGATGTGGCTGATGACTCTGAGGAACTAGATTTTACTTTTATTGAAGTATATACAGTCAGTTTACAATGTTGTGTCAATTTCTGGTGTACAGCATAATAGTTCAGTATACATACACATATTCCTTTTCATATTTATTATAGGTTACTACAATACATTGAATATAGTTCCTTGTGCTATACAGTAGAAACTTATCTATTTTATATATAGTACTTAGTATCTGCAAATCTTGAACTCCCAATTTATCCCTTCCTACTCTCTTACCCCCCACTCCAGGTAACCATGTTTGTTTTCTCTGTCTGTTGAGTCTGTTTATTTTGTAAGTAAGTTCATTTGTCTTTTATATTTTTTAGATTCCATATATAAGTGATATCATATGGTATTTTTCTTTTTCTTTCTGGCTTATCTCACTTAGAATGATGATCTCCAGGTCCATCCATGTTGCTGCAAATAGCATTATTTGGGTTTTTTTAAGGCTTAGTAGTATTCCATTGGAACTGGATTTTTCATTTAATACAGTAGCCACTAGCCGTGTGTGCTTGGGAAACATCTGAGATGTGGCTAATGACTCTGAGGAACTGGATTTTTTTATTTTGTCTAATTTTAATTAATTTACACTTAAAAATAGCCACCTATGGCTAGTGAAGGGTTTCTCAACCTTGGCACTAATGATATTCTGGACTGGATAACTGCAGTGAGGGCTGTCCTGGGCACTGTAGGATGTTCAGCAAGAGCCCTGGCCTCTACCCACTAGATGCCAGGAGTACCCCACCCCTAGTTGTGGCCGCCAAAAAGTCTCCAGACATTGCCAAATGCTCCCAAAGGAGCAAAATCGCCCCTGGTTGAGAACTACTGAGCTAGTAGCAATTGTACTGAATAGCCCGGTTCTAGAATATGCCTGATATGTATAGTACATTTTGGTTGAGGAAAAAGAACTGGCCACTATACAATACTAGGGCAGTGGTGGGCTCGTCTTAAGGACAAGGAAGGTTAAAAAAAGTAAAGTCAGATGTAATCAAAGAAATGTCTTTCTTCTTTATCTTCCTTCCCATGTGGTGGAGATGGAGCCAGAAGAGTGATGTTGGAAAATCCTGCTTCACTTCAAAGTCCCCAGTTTAGCATCAGAAAACCTACACTGGAATCTGCCTTCCCTGTGCTCACTGTGGGTAACTGGACAAATGGACCTCCCTGAGTCTCAGGGTTTCAGCTGGAAAAGCGGGGGGAATGGTACCCACCTGACAGGGTAGCTGTCAGGGATCAATCAGACAAAGCAGAAAGCGTGCCAAGCTCAGCACCTGGCATGTAGGAGGTATTCAAGACCACCGCTGTTACTTTAGCCATCCTCTTCCAGGCAAGCGGGAAAAATTTTTTTGTACCTTCCAACCAATAATACAAAAGTACCCAGTCTGTTCCATTAAAAATAAAAACCCTATTGAAAAAAAAAACTAGCCAAGTTCTATAAACCTGATTTTATTTTAAAACCTCAGGGGTCTCAACCCTTAACGTTTGTCTGTTGTTTGTGACTCCATTCCCTTGACACACTTAAATGTGTAGGAGAAACCGTTTCAGCTCCTCAGGGAGGCTGAGGCCAGTGATCTTATGATGCTGCTGGATTCCAAAGCACTTCCAAATTCTAAGGCGGCACAACTGCATCAAAGAAGGGGGCCCTGGAGAAAGAGTGGAAGACAAGTCACACATCGGTTTCATGGAGCTAAGACTTTCCTTCTTTTAAAGCGTACAACTGATAACACTACTATAAGGAAATACTGTGGTACTGCTTAAGATCATCTTCTGGTTTTTTGCAGGAGGCGTTTATAGGCCATGTTCTCTTTTCTGGTATTGAATTGAAATGAGTTTGTTAGCTTTTGATTTACAACAGACTGAAAGAAATTCAAAGCTCCATCTTACCAATGGAGGCTTCTGGAAGCGCACCGGGGGATTACAAAGCTATGTAATCCCCAGCGATGAAAATAAAAATCCATGTTTTATGGCTTTCTTGGCTTTTACCTTAAAAAAAGGTCATATTTTGGATGCAAGTACTTTTATAGTTTAGCAATTGGAAGATATACAAATATAACGAGTTTTCCATGAAGCAAAAGTGTTACCTTAAGTTGCATTTGTTTTTATCATCTGCATTCAGAGCTGTCTCAGGACTTCAACTCGTAGGTGAAAAGTGAACGAGCACAAACCTTGCAGAGGGATCTAGCCAAGAATTTACATCTTATGATAGTGGTTTGCCATGGGGATGGCGAAGGGGTATTTTGCTCCTGAGGGTCACCTGGCAATGTCTGGAGACCCTTCTCTTTGTCACAACTTGGGGGTGGGGTGATACTAGCATCCAGTGGATAGAGGACAGGGATGCCACTAAACATCCTACAGTGCACAGGACCACCCCCAACTGGCCCCAAATGTCAACAGCATTGAGGTTGAAGAACCCTGTCATAGGGTAAAAGGATGGGAAATGATTTCCCATCCTCACCCCCTGCACTAATGTGTAATGGGAATTCTCATTTGGTTATTGAGAACATTTTTCAAAAAGCAAAGCTATAGACCCTCCAGAATCCCATAAAGCTATAGCCCTCAGTCCAGACTGGGGGTGGGGCGGGGGAAGGCTTTAAAATACATGCTGTTGGGCCCCACCCCAGAGATGTTGCTTCAGTTACCATTGAGTGGGGCCCCAGCATCTGGATTTTGTAAAGGCACAAGCCCCAGGTCATCTTATAGTGTGGCCATGGTTGAGAATGCCACCAAGAAGGTTCAGTGGCCTCTGATTTCCTGGGTAAACTGGGTGGCATACTTCTCAGGTGATGGAAAAGAGGGAGAGGTGGAAATAGACATATAAACAAGGAAAGAAAGAAATGCCGTATTTTCAATCAGGTCCTCACAACACAGTTACAAGGTCCCAGCTGGAATTTAGGGCACCTTCCAGATGATGCTCCGTGAACTCAAGGAATAGATGGATGAACGCTTTCCCAGTGTACTCAAAGCACTTATTAACAAATGGCAAGAAGCATACTGTGCAGAAACAGAACTGAGTCTTATCTCACTAAGGAATGTTGAAGCACATGACTAATCGTAGGTGCCAGACCCACTGTCAGGGACAACTGTAGGAGGTACTGATAAAGACTTACAGACTATACTTCAATAAAGAAAATAAATTTAAAAATAAAAATAAAGCATTACAAAGAACAAGACATCAGAGCAAGCCTAATGGAGAATTAGGAAAAACAGGACATCAGAGTAATAAGCTCGGTGTAACTACTGATGCAAATTGAGTATCTGTTGTTTATCACAAGTGGGATGGTGTTCAAGTATAGCCTTCATTCATGCCATATAAATAGAGCTGGAAACCTACTACCGCTTTGGAGCCACCTGCTGGCACCTGAAAGTATTCACAGGGGGCTTTGCTTTACTCAATAAGGGAAGCAGCTCATTCTACATTTATCAGTGGGCTTTGGGTGTCAATTCCTTTTTCTCCTCCAGCAACACTCATGATGCTTTAAGATCGAGTGCACTCGGGTGGCTCTTGCCGTGCTGGGCTTAGAGAGTCATGTTTAGTTGTCATTGTGTGTCATGAGTAAACACGGCTTTAGATGCTTTGCAAGGGGTGGGGTGGTCATACTGCTGAACTCCTGTCCGGGGACACCCGGAGACAGAAGTGGCTATGTTAAACCTACAGATCTGCCTTTCAGCATTTGTCCAGCCCCACTTCCTCTGCCCTTCCAGCCTGTGGAGAGGTAACTTCACCGGAACCCCCAAAATGACTCATGGAGGCAAAAGAAGTGGCAATTCTCTCCAACGGCAAGTGGTATTTTACAAAACAGTGGGCTCACTGACCACACTGTCACCAAAATGTAAATTAAAGGCACGGAGGTATCTCTGAATGGGCTTCAGGAAATAAAGTAGAAGGGACGAGTTAGTGGAGGCAACTTGAATATCCAATGTGATTATTTGATGGGGCGAGGGGGGATTCTATATATAAAGGCACACATACACACACACGTGTGTGTGTCTATATCTATGATTTATGACTTTCAGGAACCCTGAGGCACTTTTGCCTTTATGGATCTCTTTCTTAATTTAAAAAAAAAGTATTTTACAGCCAGTAATTTGATAACTGTGTCTGTATAAAGATGAATACAAGCCAAATTATATTCTATTAATTTTGTTCCTCCTGATTTTAAAAGAAATTAAAACATTTCTGGATGGACCTAGAGATTATCATACTAAGTGAAGTTAAGTCAGAGAAAGACAAATATCACATGGTATCACTTATATGTGGAATGTAAAAAAAAATGACACAAATGAACTTATTTACAAAAGAGAAACAGACTGACAGACACAGAAGACAAACTTACAGTTACCAAAGGGGAAAAGCTGGGGGCGGGGGGAGGGAGGCGGGGGAGGGATAAATTAGGAGTTTGGGATTAGCAGATACAAGCTACCATATAAGAATAGATAACCAAGGTCCTGCTGTATGGCACAGGGAAGTATATTCAATTGCTTGTAATAACCTATAATGAAAAAGAATCTGAAAAAATGTGTGTGTATATGTATATATATATGTGTATGTGCATATATATATATATATACACACACACATAACAGAATCACTCTGCTGTACCCCAGAAACTAATACAACATTGTACATCAACTACACTTCAATTAGAAAAAATAGTAAAGTTCTTCAGATTGCTGTGGATCATGAAGTAATACCATGTCATACTCAGTTAGCTGCATCCTGACCCCCAGAAATCAAATGCCCAGTGGTTCAGCCCATCTGTAGTGCAGGAAGACATCCTGGGGCACTGCACAACCCCAAGGAGGCTTCTGCTGCATCATTCTAAAGCATGTCCTAGATAACTTTAATACAAACATTTTAAAACAAAATCTTAATTCTTTAAAAGCTGGCATACCCCACATATCAATATTAGATCGTCCAAAACAGCCTGTCTCCAACACACCAAACAGCAGGATGGTTATCTACTATGTAACTCATACGGTACCTTGTTGAATACTCAGTTATCTCAGCTCCCCACATGCGGTGATGGCAGAGCACGATCTTTTTAACAGGACCAGAAGTCAGAACTCAGTAAGTACCTGCCTCCTGCTAGAGCCCACAGGAGTCTCTATGGATTAGGACTTAGGTTCAGGCAAAGAAGAAGCACCTTCTCTCTGCAAGAAGAGCTCGGTCAGGGGGCTCTCTGGAGGCACCAGCTCCGAGGGACGTTTGCCTTCAGCATTCTTGGCCTGAGTGTCTGCTCCGAAGTCCATGAGCAAGCAGGCCAGCTCCCCATTGGACGCCCTGGCCACCGCGTGAAGAGGGGAGTCCAGTCCCCGGCCTTGGTTCACACTTGCTCCTAAACAGTCACGAGAACAGAGACTCAGCCGAGGAGCAGAGTCCCAGCATCCCCTTGTCAAAGCGCTGCACCTCAGGGCTCCCTGACAAAAGGGCATCCCAGTGGGCATGGCAGTTCTCCGGAGAAAACGGGAGATGACTTGACTCCATTTACAAACGTGGGGGAAATGCCCCGACGATGGCTGAACACACAGCACATGCTGTACAGCCTGTGAGGGTCAACATGGTGCCTTGGAGCACCAGACACCAGTGTGATACCTACAAGAAAAATCCTGCTGGCGTGACGCTGCACATTCATTACTCATGGAGCCCAAACACTAGCCAGGCCAGAAGTGAGGCCAGATGGGGAAATCCCATCTACGGCAGGCAGCCACATTCACACGTGGAGCAGCTGCTGTGGGGCTGAAACCTGAGACTTGGGACTGTGCGACTGGGACTCTGAAGAGCAACCAATTATGACAGCATTGCCTACATTGGGGTGGCCAATCCCACGATCCCAGGGTAGGTGGCAAAGTCCTCCTCTTCAGGGAGAAGGCAGATTTCTAGGACCATCCCCACCCAATTCCATCCCTACACTCTCAGCCAGTCCCCTCACCAGCCCAGATGCTGGCTTACATGTGGGGACATGTGGCTTTGCCTGAGTGGCTGTCGCTCTCATAAACTGGGAATCTTTGGCCATCCAACAAATGTTAACTCAGTTGTTCTTGCACTCAGCTTTGTGAGGGGTGCAAAATCTGGCCCTCTCCTAATGAGGGGCTTAAAATCCACTTACAATGATAGAAGAGAGAAAGAGGGAGAGAAGGAGAGAGACGGAATCTCCTAATTCATGGTAATAGTTACCAACTGAGTAGAAGGCAATAAGAACTCTAAGAACATTTGGTGGCAGGAAAGATTGCTGGATTTTTAAACAGTAAACAGGACTTAAATAATTAAAGAGGTGATGAAATGGTATTCCAAGTGCTGAAGAAGGGACTGGACACACAGCAGGAAGGTGAAAAAGAATGATTCGACTTAGGCCCTTTCAAAGAAAACATAGTATTTACAGTGGGCTAAAAATGGGTCAACTTCTATTTGCAAATCAAAGAGAACCGGTGAGGAAGGCCCCAAACAGGGAGACTCAGCCCTAACCCAGCGGCTGTGCAAGCTATGCAGAGCCTAATGATGTCATTGGCCGGAGAGAGGGAGGCAGAGGAAAGGGAGAAGTCATCACGGAGGACCATCCTGGGAGAAGACACCAGCATCATTATCATCATGCTTATTACAGTGAGAGAACTAAAGGTCAGTTTAAAGTCACTCCCCGTGGGAACATAGTATGAGCAGTGATCCCGTCCGACTCCCCCGCCCACACTCATCCCTCTGCTACGAGAGAAAGAGCTCTCAAATAGCTTTCATTTCCTTTTCATTTACTGTCCTTGCTATGTTTTGCTTTTTGTTTTACCTGATTCCAGAAGCTTCTTGGCACAGGCTACCTGCAGGTTTTCACAAGCCAGATATAATGGTGTGCCCAGATGGCTGATGTTATGGTCAATGTCGCCCCCATGAGCCGCAAGAGACTCGATGCACTCCACATGGCCTGCAGCCCAAAGGGGGAGCAAACAGTTACAGCACAAACTCTCTTAGCCAGGGAAACATCACCTTGCCCATTTTTTTGTGTGTTTAAAATTTTCAACAACTTATCCAGGGACCAAAAGCTGTTCCCTTTACTTAGAATAGGAAATGACCTTCCACACTGGCACCAGTTAATGGGTTGACCATAGGATGTGACCTACAGCTCTGGGTGGAACTCCACTTGAGTTGACCAGTCACAGTAAAGCAACCAGCAACCATCCACCTTTTCCAATTGTTTATGGCTCGGTAATCAGTCCAAGTGCTGAAATCGAAGTGAGAACTGGGGAAAGGTGTGGAAGAACAGAGACTAAAGGTGGATCTGAAGAGGGCATAGTGTAGGCCATGGGACAGGGAGAAACAGGCCACAGTGGGCACAGGTGAGGCTGAGAAGAAGGTACCAGGTCCAACATGAGTGGCACCCAGCGTGGCCAGCTAGGTTTAGTGAAAGCAGAATCACTCTTCCTTGCTCTAGAATGTCAGTAGTTGAAACATTTGCTCCTTGGCGTTTCTCTCGTTATACCATTTTAGTTCTATGTGTTCAGTGAATATGATGAGATAGCATCTCTCCTCGTGATGAAATGCCAGTGCTTCAGGAGCTAAGTATAATATGGGTGGATCCAGTCAAATAGGGCTGCTGTCAACAACATAGGAACAGCCCTCCTGGCAAGGTATGGTCATCACTATGAGAAGGAAGAGGAGGAGGAAAATCAAACAAAACGTGCAATTTTGTCTTTTGTCTTAGAGTTCAGAACAGAAGGAAAACTGTGACTTTATGAAAAGAACTACCCCCAGTGAGTAAGTTCTGGGGGTCTAACGTACAACATGGTGACTACAGTCACTAATACTGTATTATAGACTTGAAAGAGAGTAGATCTGAAATTTTCTCACCACACAAAAAAGGTAACTGTACAAGGCAATGGATGTGTTAATTAACTTAATTATAGGCATCCTTTCACAATAGATATGTGTATCAAATCATCACATTGTACACCTCGAATAAACACAGTTTTACTTGTCAATTATACCTCAAGAAAGCTGGGGCTGGGGAGAGTTACCCCATACTGTATATAACATCTTATATTTCCAAAAGTTCCAAGTTTGTTTTCACTTAGCAAACCTAGGTGGCCCGGAGACAATATTCATTAAAGCCCTAAAATAGAATGTAATCTGTTTTATAAAATAATTTGATGTTATGGGGTCATGGGTTCAATAATATATTCTACAAATGTTGATGGATAGTCTACCATGTGACAGGCCCTGTTCCAGAAATACAGCCGTGAACAGCATTCCAAATGTTAGAAAAGGATGCTTCTCGCACTGATTGTGCATCAGAATTACCTGGAGGGCTTGTTCAACAAAACACAGGTGGCTGGGCCCCACCCCCAAAGTTACTGATTCAAGGAGTCTGGAATAGGGGCCCAAGAATCTGCATTTGCACACCAGGTTGGGAGGGTATTTCTGGTCCCAGGACCCCAGATTGCGAACTACTGCTCCCTTTCGCTCTTCCCTGCAACAGGAAGAGGTCCCTCAAAGGAGTGGATGGAAAACTTAACTTCTCAACAGATTTACCTCTCTTAGCAGCTTCGTGGATGGGGGAGGCCAGATCACTTGCAGGGTGGGGGCTGGCTCCATGCTGCAGAAGCAAATTCACACACTCCTGGCTGCCGCTGACACAAGCATTAAACAAGGGAGTGTGCCAGTCTGCAGTAACACCATTCACCTAGAAACAAAAGCTCCAGGATGAAGGCAAGGAGTGGGGCGACCCGGATTCAAATCTAAGTTCCATCACTTTCAAGCTATTATTTAACTTCTCAGAGACCTTCAATTCCACAGCTATAAAATGGGGACAAAAATAACAAATTCTACACAGTTGCTATGAAAAGCTGAATGAGGTATGGATTGTAAGGCACCAAGAATGTCTCTGAAACCTTCTGTCTCCTCCATGCCCTCCCCAAGAACATGAACTTTGAAACTACTTAGGATCTTCAATAGCTTACAAACTAATCTCCTATTTTAAACACTCCATCTGAGATCCATCCCACCCCAATCCAATTTCCCCACAACAGTTAGAGTAATCTTTTAATTTTTTTTCAAATTTAAAAACATCGCTTCCATATAGAGTGAACACAAGCCAAAGATTTTATGCAACTCATTCATTAATGAGAGAACCAGTAAAACTGGCTGGCTCAAAGGAGAATTTATAGAGCCAGTCAGTGCAATGCTGAAATAAATTGGCTAATCGATACAAAGCTGGTTAATATCTTACAGGGCCATAAAACTAGCATCTTTGGGGCGATCTTTTCTAACACTGGAAATGAGACTAAAACTTACAAGTTAACATCTAACGTCACAATGTGAATCGAATGGCAAAGAACGAAGCCAAATGCAGGTGAATTTTTCTGTATCAAGTAATTCTTTGGTGAATCTGTTAAACAATGATGCTGTGAAGACAGCGAAGGCATTCTATTCTCACAGGCTATTTCCACGCGATGCCAGGACGAGTGAGGCACAAAAGACGGCCAGGTGCACACCTGGAGGAGACGCTCCCTCCCAGGGTCATGAAAGGGCTGCAAGACTCCGAGCGTGAGCAGCTCTTTAAAGCCTGCACACTTGGCACCTCTCTTGCGTCTGCTTGGTCCTGGCCCTGTTCTCAAGTTTGCGGTAAGTCTTCTTAAGAAAAACATAACCCTGATGATGCACTCGTCTATAGCTCTCTGAGGCTCTCAGGGCAGAGCCCGTTTTCTTGGCTGGACAACAAGCTCATTGTGTTCTGACCTCTCGCCTGCTCTGCTCTGCTGCTCTAAGGAATGATTTGAGGTCATGAACCAGACGCTCAGTTTCACTTCTAGGCTGTTGCACTTGTTGTTCCCAATGGGTGGAAAACTCAGCGTTTCCCCAACCCACCATTCAGCTGGCTACTCCAACAGATCCTTTAGGTTTCAAGTGAGACATCATTTCCTGTAAGAAGCCTCTTCTGACTCCCTCTTTCTCCATCAGAAATAAACGAGTTAGGAACACTTCTGTGTGTTCCCCACAGTCCGCTTACTAGTCATACTTATTACATTGGGGTAGTTGGCAAAAATGACCACAGAGTCTCTGTCCAAGATGCACAATCCCTTTGTAATGTGGCTTTCCAACTCCTCCCATCACAAGACGGAGACCGTTCAGTCCTTGAATCTGGGCTCGCCCACATGAATTGCTTTGGCCGATGGGACAGTAACAAATGTGATGCCAGCAGAGACGTGACCCTCTTTTTCTGCTCTTGAAATCCCTGCTACTATGTGGAAAAGCCCAGGCCTCCTGCAAAAGGATGAGAGACCACAGAGAGATTTCCTGTCTCCCCAGACTTCTCAGCCATCCCAGTCAAGGTCACCATGAACCAGTCTGCCCCAGCTGACCTATCAGCTAACTCCAAATGCCTCAGTAAGCCCAGCTGAGGTTAGCTGAAGCAGGCCAGACCGAAGAGCTGTCCAGCTAACACAAGGAACTAGGAGAGAAAAAAATGGCTATTGTCTTAAATCATTAAGTCAGGGTAGTTTGTTACACAGCAAAAAGTAATGGATATGTCTGTGAGTCTCTGGTTTGTAAACCACAGTTACCAAAGGGGAAAGGGGTGGGGAGAAGGATAAATTAGGAGTTTCGGATTAACACATACACATTACTATACATAAAATAGATAAGCAACAAGGACCTATTGTATAGCACAGGGAACTATATTCAATATCTTGTAATAACCTATAATGGAAAAGAATCTGAAAATGAATATATATATATATATATATAACTAAATCACTTTGCTGTACACCTGAAACTAACACATTATAAATCAACTATAGTTAAATAAAAAAATTTTTTAAACTAATGGATAAAAACAGTGTATTGTAATTGCCTGCTGTGAAAAAAATACAAAAAAAAAGTAATCGCCTGCTGTGGTTGAGATGCTAAGCATACAACAAACTTATTTCCTCTCTCCTGAGCACAGAGCCATACTATACTTCCCAGCCTCCCTGGCGATTAGACATGGCCTAAGTTCTGGTCAGTGGGATGTGAGCAGAAGTAACATGTCACTGCCAAGACTGGCCCTTCAAAGTCGTCCATTCACAATCCTCCAAGTGTTGTCCCCTTCCAACCATCTGGAATGGAGCGCACATGGGAGCCACTTGTTGAAGACAGCAGAGCAACAGGATGAGAGGAGCCTGTGTCCTGGAATCACCTTGGAAAATAGCCACCCAGCCGGGAACACCCACACTGGAGTTTGAGTTGAACAAGAAATAAACTTTTATTATACTAGGCTACGGAGATTTCAGGGTTTATCTCTTAAAGCAGTGTTACATTCAGCAATTTACCTGTTTATCTGGTTGTCCCCTTATTTAGTGTATAAATTCCTAAAAATCTTTGTCTAGAGTTAGGCACATAATAAATACTCAGTAACTCCCGGATGAGAGAATATGAGAAGGCCATGTCGAATCTTTGAGCAGATTTTCCCATCGCTTTTGAGCATGAGAGGACTTAGCTAATCTAAGACCTACTGGTCCCCACTTTGAAATTCAATGACTTTGTATCTTCCTTCTCGAGGATCTCATTATGCCGCTCTGATTCCCATTCTCCAAATAATAATATGCCTTCTCTCTCTCAATCCTCACAATACCACAATATGCTACATCATGTTTTTGGTTATTTTCCCTGTTTCTTTCTTTTTCGTATGTAGACTCTAAAGCTTACAGGCTAAGTAATTTGTCCAAAGTTTCCAACGTTAGTAAATGGTAGAGATGGTCTGGGACCATTATTCAGGTCTTATGGAGCCAAATGTTATGTGTTTTCTACAATATTTCATTACCTTCCACCCATAGGAATGAAGGCAGAAATGTAACTACTATTTATCAGTAGCGGTTGTTAAAGAAAATGATACAGACTTTAATCATTACTTTCTAGCTAAAAATGCAGTATTTCATCTACCACTACAGCAAATAAGCTTGATGAACATAATAATTTTGAAAAAACCCTGTTCATATTTCAAGTCATGCTAATCAAAAATACTGGAAATTATTCAGAAGGGCTATAAATAGTCATTTTTCATTCATGGTTTCTAAGATGTGATTTGAGTTGCCCTTACCTGAGCTCCATGCTTTAATAAAATGTTTGCACAAGAAGGATGACCTCCAAGACAGGCTTCATGGAGTGGGGACACATAATCTGCCGTGATGAGGTTCACAGGCCACCCCTGGAGGAGAGGAAATGGGCAGAGTAAGGGGTGCAGGGCAAGAGTTCTGTAGGACTGGTTTCCAGCCATGAAACCATCACAAGATACTTTAAAGTTAACCTGGCTCATCAGTAAAAAGTCCACAAACAATAAATGCTGGAGAGGGTGTGGAGAAAAGGGAACCCTCCCACACTGCTGGTGGGAATATAGTTTGGTGCAGCCACTATGGAGAACAGTATGGAGATTCCTCAAAAAACTAAAAATAGACCTACCATATGATCCAGCAATCCCATTCCTGGGCATATATCAGGAGGGAACCCTAATTCAAAAAGATACATGCACCCCAATGTTCATAGCAACACTATATACAATAGCCAAGACATGGAAACAACCTAAATGTCCACTGAGAGATGACTGGATAGAGAAGTTGTGGTGTATTTATACAATGGAGTACTACTCAGCCATAAAAAAGAATAAAATAATGTCATTTGCAGCAACATGGATGGATCTGGAGATTATCATTCTAAGTGAAGTAAGCCAGAAAGAGAAAGAAAAATACCATATGATATCATTCATATGTGGAATCTTAAAAAAAAGACAAACTTATTTACAAAACAGAAACAGACTCCAAACATAGAAAACAACTTATGGTTACCAGGAGGGGAAGAGGGTGGGAAGGGATAAATTGGGAGTTTGAGATTTGCAGATTCTAACTAATATATATATATAATAGATAAACAAGCTCATACTGTATAGCACAGGGAACTATATTCAATATCTTGTAGTAACTTATGGTGAAAAAGAATATGAAAACGCATATATGTATGTTCACGTATGACTGAAGCATTATGCTGTACACCAAAAATTGACACAACATTGTAAACTGACTATACTTCAATAAAAAAATATATAGCCTTGGTCTCTATCTACTAGACGATGCCAGGAACACCCTGCTCCCAGTTGTGACAACCTAATATTATCTCCATTGTCAAATGCCTCCTCTGGGGCAAAACTGCCCCAGTGGAGAACCACCGTTTTACTTGATGATTTTCAAGAACATAGTAGTCTACTGAAGAAAGTGAAGGCAACACTAATTTGCCCACTATTCATTGAATAGATATTATAGTACTAATTATGTGCACAGAATTGTACCAAACTGGAGTATCATGCCAGCCTCCAAATAAAAGAATGGTTAGATAGGACAGGATTCATCTCATTTGGCTGAAGAAAAAATTTACATCTTAATATCAGATTACGCTATCTTTTTCTTCATGCAGTGAGCAATAGAATGGGCTTAGTTATTTTTTTTCCAAAAATCACCTACCTGGCTGATGAGGTTCCTCAAAGACAGCAAACGTCCATGGACTGCAGCTTCGTGCACAGGAGACCAATCAGATACAACATCTGTAAGGAAAGGGAGAGCCAGGTTACACCCTGCTAACGTACTTTACACCCAGAGGCTCATCCTCGCACGTCAACGAGAGCCTAACCGGTCTTACTGGGGAGAGACATTGGAGTCAATCAACCAAAACTCCAATCAGGACTCCGGCATCTCTCCCCTCTGTGGATGTTCCTCGTACACAGTTTATTTGAAATGCCTAGCTAGCTAAAGGAATAACTACAGCCAATGTCCAAACCGAGGACCAAAGAGGTGGATTGGGATGACAGATTACTGCACTTCCATTTACACACCCTGGTTTCAAAGGCAAAATGGTCCATTTAGTTAAATGAGGGCTTCACTAATTACCAGCATTAGTGTGTTCAGTTGTGGTTGCCAGTCCAATTTCCTGCGTGAAATACAAACTCTGGCATCTCAGCAAACAGTGCCATATACTAACAGCAGTCATCGTGTAATTACATACACCATTAGGTTTGGAATCAAATCTAAACAGAACCCTATCTGTTAATGGATTACCTCCTGTCCCAACACCAAGCACAAATCAGAGTTCAGTCTGACCTTGTAACAGGAACACGATTTACCCCCTAAGGCAGTGTGCCAATGCCATGAAGAGAAAGCTCTGAATTCAGACCCGCTTGACTTCTGAGCTGTGGGTCCCTGGGCAGATGCTGGCTTCAGTTTCCTTCTCTGTCAAGTCAGGACAGCAGTACACCTACCCCAGGCTCAACACCTATTGGCTACTATTATTATCCTGCCCTAACGCTGAACAGTCTTGATCATAACCCACAATCACTGCTATTTAAAATAGCAAACGGAGTAGGGGATGGTATAGTTCAGAGGCAGAGCACATGCTTAGCATGCACAAGATCCTGGGTTCAATCTCCTGTACCTCCGCTAAAAAAAATTTTTTTAATTAAAAAAATAAAACAGCAAATGTATTCTCCAACCATACGGAAAGAATACTTTCTTAGGAAGGAAGCCTGGAAAACTTAGCCCAATGCATTAAATGTGTTCCTTTCTTTCTAATTGACAGCATGTCACCTAAAGGTAGTGCAGACCTGAATTTTTCTCATCTGGAGCTACATCTGATTTCCAGTACACAGGAAGTGAGAAGGTAAGGAGGCTTCTTGAAGCTGGCTGCAACTCCAGCTCTGCCTGCCTGAGTCAACACGCTCCAGGCAAACAAGGCAGGATGCTCTGGTAACAGTCAGCCCTCGTGAAGGAACTGGGATCGCCTAAAAGCCAAGAAGAGCTGGAGAACCAGGAGAATGACTAAAGTCTGGCAAACGGAAGGTCATCAAGGAGGAGGCTAGAACACTTTGTACTCAACACGTTTCAGCTGACGTCAGCTTGCCACCTGGAGCTATCGATCCCCTGGAAAATCTGTCCCAGGGAGCAAACGACCATCCTTCCAGATGAATTCATGAGGCATTTAACAGGGAAAACGGAGCTGAATGAGCCCGCCTACACACTGCTCAGCCAAGGCATTCCTTCTGGGATCACTAAGATGCACGAGGTACCTTCAGTGAAATGGTTTTTCCGATCCTCCAAACCTATGCTTGATAGAAAATCAGTGTCCTCACAGCCTTCTCTGAGGGTCCTAATTCTCTTAGGAAAAATATTGCTGCTTCTTGTGCTTGGACCCTACCATCCAGACAGCAGCTATGGAAAGATTTACCTCCAAAGGAGAATGAAAAGGCAACTCATTCTACCCCACTGGCACTAAGGCAAAAGACCATCCACACAACATCTTGAGTGAGAAGAGCATGCCCCCAATTGAGAAAGGTCTTGAAAATCAGTTGCATCACCATGTGTGTGATGATGAAGTCATTTTTCCTTCCAACTGCTCACCTGCTAAGAAGTATAGCTGCCACACTGCTCAACCTTTCTTAAAGCTCCCCCAGATAATTACAGCTGACAGCCAGGCAGGTCATTTGGGTCCTAAATTACAACTGTCTAGACTGCATAAAAACGATGCAATTATATTATCAAGTGTAGACAAAAATGGGCTTTACTTTCTATGCATTCATCATGAAAACATTACTCCTTTTATTTAGGGTAAATGAAGAGTTATGTACTTCTCCAAGAGGAAAAAAAAAGACTACCTGGGGTTTTGCACCCCTGCGTTAGAACACCATGTTTACAAAGCAGAGACAGTCTGTGTCTTTGAGCAGCTCAAGGTGTTGTCCTAGTACACATGGTGGGGAGTGAACACTCTATCAGCTTTAATGATTTATAATTCACATACTGTACAATTCATCTATTTAAAGTGTACAATTCAATGGTTTTCAGTATATTTCCGAGTTGAACATCCATTGTCACAATCAATTGCAGAACATTTTCATAATCCCAAAAAGAAATCTTCTGCCCACTAGCAGTCACTCCCCCATTTCCGCTTCCCTCAGCCCCAGGCAACCACTGATCTACTTTCTATCTCTATGGATTTGCTTATCCTGGACTTTGCATATAAATGGTATTATACACTATGTGGTCCTTTGTGACTGACTTCTTTCACTGAGTATGTTTCAAGGGTCCTCCACATCACAGTGTGTATCAGTACTTCATCCCTTTTATGGCCAAATAGTATTTGTATACATAGACCAATACGTTGATAGAGATTTGAGTTGTTTCCACTTCTTGGCTGTTACGAATAATGCTGCTAGGAACATTCATGTACCAATTCTGGAGTGGATATAAGTTTTCAATTCTCTTGGGTACACAGCTAGGAGTGGAACTGCTGTATGATGTGATCACCCAGTGCTAAGCTTTTTGAGAAACTGCCAGACTATTTTCCAAAGCAGCTGTATCACGTTAGATTCTCATCAGCAGTGTATGAGACTTCCCTTCCTAAGTTAAAAGTCGAGGGTTTGGTGAATCTATCATAGCAGGCCTATATTCCAGCCCAGAAGAAAACCTTAGGTCCTTGTAAAGTCAAAATTCATCTCAGATGTATACAAAGCCTTTAGCCTCAGATCTCTAAACACTTGAGTGATTACCTAAAGACTTTAAACTTTGAAAGGCTGACATGAACTTTATATATAGCTCATTTAGCAAATGCCATAATTTGTAACACAGATTATTAGTCCACACACTCTCTTCAGCTCTTAAAAACACTGGTGAGATATCCAGCAGATGTTTCTCTAGGGTTTCCAGAGCCCACATCAGAAGCAGGCAATAGGCTACAAGCTCAACACATGAGCAATTAAATCCAAAAGCAGCTTTGCCTGCTTTCCTGCTGACAACTGGAGAGCGCGGACTAAGTAGGAAAGAGGACCTATTCCTGCCAGAACAGGGACGCTGCTCACAGTAGGAAGCTAGGGATGCAGGGCACACTGATGGTCACAATCCCCTTTTCCGCTGACCCTAATGAAGTCTTTGAAACTCAAGGGCCATTACATCTATACAGCACACATCATCCTAGCGCTTGGTATATACTAAGGATTCTTCCCCAAGAGTTGTACAGCCAGGATCTACTGGTTTTACTGCCAAGAAACAGATGCCAAATGGGGTTACTGGCAATGCCACAGATCCAGGAGTGTAGCTCATGGTTAAAATGGGGCAGGGAGCTCTCCTAATGAAACGACTCCACAAGTCCTCTAATTAGTGCCATTAAGCTTACCTCTCTTTTCAACTGAGTCTCCATCAAACCCTGCAGCACATTAGGAAGGCTGCCATTTCATTTTTTATTGCAATTTCTGGAATGATTTTTAAATTTCTATTATTTCAGAAGAGATTTAAAATGCACTAATGCACTACATTCTGCAAAGCGCTATTAACGAAGCTCTGAGAGCCGCCAGTGAATGCTGGGAGTAGCATCAATGTATTCCTCCTGGGAAACATTTGGCAAGTTCAAGGCGCAAAAAGAGAGGCTGGGCGGTTCCTAGAGGGTGGGAGCATTTGGCTTCAGTCTTTGGGACATGATAGGGTTGGCTCAGTGGTGTGCACCGGCACTGGAGGATCCGGGTGCTGGGTTTACAATTGTAGCGGACCTGGGTTGGATTCCAGGACAAATCAAAGTAGGAAGAAGAGAAACAGAGGCTCATGGTTGCAAACAGGCAAACAGAAAGGCCCATGGAGGCAGCTCTTGGGCAAGTGGGTTCTGTCCTCTGCAATTATTTCTCTAATTCCATCACCCAGCCTCTCCTTTCTCTGACTCTGTCCCTCTCGAGCTGCCTTCTCCATAGGGACCTCACCCCATCACCCAATCTGTCTGAGCAGGCAAGTCTCCCCCAGAAAACATGCCCCTGCCATGGTGCCCCAACATCTAAAATCCACTGTAAGAAAATGAAATGATCTCCTTTCCATGCCTGTCATCGCTTTGATTGTGAATACTCTGTCCAGGGTGGGCTCAATTTTGTGAGGAAGAAAATCTCTCGGTAAGTGTAAGTCCGCCGGCAAAACCCGGAAGGACAGACACTACAAATAGGAACAGTGATCACCTGTTCTGTGGGATTATGCGTGTCTGTTAGTTTATCCTTCAGTGTATTTCCCAACGTTTCTATGAGTAGGTATGAGATAGTTTCCGAGGGCTGCTATAACAAACTACCACTAGCTGGGTGGCTTACAACAGAAATTCATCACCTCAGAGTTCTGAAGGCTGGAAGTCAGAAATGAAGGTGTCGCCAGGGCCATGCTCTCTCCAGAGAGTCTAAGGAAGAATCCTTCCTTGACTCTTCTAGCTTTTGCTGGTAGGTGTCCATCTTTACTATTTCTTGGCTTATCAGAGGCATCATTCCAATTTCTGCCTCTGTCGTCCCCTGGCATTCTCCCTGCCTGCCTCCTCTCCTCTTCATGCAAGGACCAGCCATTGGATGAAGGGCCCACCTGACTCCAGTATGACCTCCTCTTAGCTAATTACATCTGCAGTGACTCTTTCAAAACAAGGTCACGTTCTGGGGTACTAGGGGTTGGGACTGCAATGTATCTTTTGGGAGGCGGGGCACAGTTCAACCCATAACAAGGTATTTTCAGGGGGAAAAAAAAGATAATTTTTTCCTGCTCCTGGGCAGAGGAGTGAAGAATTAAATCTCTATGAAGAGCTGGCTGCCAGTTTTGTAGCCTTTTCTCCCTTCCTCCGGAGGAGGCAAAGCAAAGCCTGCAAGTGGAGGGGGAAGCAGCCAAATTCCCCAGAACGACCCACACCTGGGCCCTGTAGTCCCTCTGCCCTGGGCCTGTGCCGGGGGATCGGCTTCACCTGAGCTGAGTTTCTCGTCATGGCCATTTGGAAATAACAGTCTGAGTGTTTCACATTCCACTCTTCACCAAGGTCAAGGCTTCCCAAGTATAAACAAATGCAATCCAGCTCTAAGTGAGGTTCAGCCCAGGGGGCAGGACTGACACAAAGTAGGGAGAGAAAGACTCCACTGGGGGAGGGAGGGGGAGAAAGCCTGGGAGGGCTCCGTGGGAGTGGTGGCGTGGCTGGGCGGAAGGAGGCAGGAGCTGACTGGTCAGATGTGGCGAAGGAGGTAGGAGAGCAGAGGGGTCCTGTCATCTACGCTTGTGACTTCTGCTTCCTGGAAAACTTCCCTTCCTCTAGTCCCTGTGAAATGACAGCATCCGAGTCTCTTCCTACTTCTCTGGCCAACTTCCTGGTCCTATGGCTTCAACTGGAGATCTGACCCAGTACTGCATCCTTGGCTGTCACCAATCAGCCATCAGACAACGTCTCCTCCCCCGGGATTTCAGCCCAGCCCCTCCGCAGAACAGTCTGAGGTCTGGTTCTCAAGCTGAATTCATTCCCGGCCTCTGTCCATCACCATGATGCTGGGCCCTGGTCACTGGCACTGACACTTCCATATTCAAAAGAGAACTCCCTCTCCTCCCTTCCTCACCCTGCTCCCAAGCCAGCTCCCTTGCCCAACTTCTCTCTTATCTAGTCTTCTTACCTGACATTAACTCAGGCTTTGGCTGCCTTCTCTCCTTTAGCCCCAGTACTTAAGCAACAGAGTCTGATTTCTCTTTCATTGGACATTATCACCCCTATTTTCCCTTTCTCTCTGATTTATGAAGCTTGCTCCAGTCAGCTTCATGCAGTGGTTCTCAAAGTCTGGTCCGCAATCATCAGCATCAGCACCACCGGGGAGCTTGTTATAAATAAGAGATTCCAGGTCTCACCCTAGACCTACTACTGCATCAGAAGGGGGAGCCCAGCCATCTGCATTTTCACAATCCATCTTGGTGGTGCCGATGTGAGTTTGAGAACCAAAGGATTAGTACACGAACTTCTCATAAATCCACCACAGTCTATCCCGACTGTGGCTACCAAATTAATCTACTTACAGTCTTCATAATGGCCAGGTCTCCACTCCAGAACCATCAATGGCTCCCAATTCCCTGCCTCATGAAGGCTAAACTCCTCCACTTAGTTCTGAAGTTTCATTATCGGGTTCCACCTCTCCAAACTTGTTCTCACTAGACAGACATGCTAAGACACTCTGCATTCTAGTTGTGACAGCATACTATATATATGCCTCCCCACCCCCACCAACCCATCCAGCCCCAACCAGGGTTGGATTAGGACCTTTAGAAACCCTCAGCAGTGAAAAGTGGCCAGCGATCCTCTCATGTGGAAATAAAAATAAATGATACTGCTCAGCTGTAAAATAATCATGCTGAAAGTAAACCAGATGATGGATTCTTCCCCATATTGATTGGTTGGCTGCTTTAAAAAAACACATTTATCCAATTCATTTTTAAAAGTTACATTTGGTCTGCCTGTGCCGATCCAAATCTTACTCACTCAGGGCCCTGCTCATTTTACAAGCAAAAGTGGATGAACCAACGGATGAATGAATGAGCAGACCATTCTGCTCCATTAGCCAGAGGGAAAGTATTTTGCATTTCATGTCTTTTGTTTATCCCCTCTTCGGCACCTAAGCAGTAGGAGAACAATAAATCCTAGCTGCCTGCAGGGTCCCTGCTTTTGTCCCTTTGACAGACAAGTGTTGTGGGCAGCCTACCAGGGTGCTGAATATCATAAACTCTCCTCCGACGCCTAGACCTATTTTTCAGAATCCTTCAGTCAGGAATGTTCAAAGGAAATGGCTGTCCCAGAGGTGTGAGACTCTATACATCAGCAAAGACACCACGGAACAGGTGAGAATTACAGCTGTAAGACATTGCCCCAAAGTTAAAAAAAAAACGGGGGGCTCCTTTTAAGGTGGATCAATCAGTGCTCAATGTTTGAACAGCACTTACAAACCCGGCACCACTCAAATGCCAAATACCTAAGACCTTTTAATAAATGTTTTAGCAAAGTGTTCCTATTTGTAAGTAACTTTAAAACCTCCAATGTAATGTAAGCGATACGTTTGACCCACAAACAATAATTCTTTGGAGTTGAAATTTTTACTGGAGAATAAACTGCGATAATTGACTTTGTATGGTCTACAGGACCTGCGGATAGAGGTGTACACATTTTTGAACAACCGTGTGAAGGATATATACCAGCAAGCCACAGACATCTGTCCAGTAACTGCCCGGTGACCACATCTCAGATGGAGCCACTGAAATCACCCAACCCTCTTCTCTCTTCTCAGCTAAGCACGTTAACCAACCTCCCCAGCACTCAGACTCCAAAACCCCTAGACTCACCCCCCATCAATGGGTTTGAAAGGAGCCTGACGTCAGGAGGGCCTCCTGGCCTCGGCAGCTTGCTGTCGTCCCTGCCCCGCGGTTCGCCATCCATGGTGCTCTCCTGGGTCTGACAAGCGCCGCGCTTCACTTCAGCTGCTCAGGAAAGTCCAAATTCCATGCTCCCCCAGCTCCTGGGAAATTCCAGTGCTGGGACCGGCTGAGCTGTACCGTCCTGGTCAGATGGCAGAGAACAGACCAGAACAGGCAGGGTAATCTGAATACTACCTGTGGTCAGACACGCGCGCCCACACACACGCGCGCGCGCGCACGCACGCACACACACACACTCCACCTAGCTGGCTGGAGGCTGCCCAAAGCCCACAACAGCCCCCCAGCCCCAAGTCTGCAAAGTTGCTGATGTCACGTCCTTTCCAAAACTGAGACCAATCAGTGACGAAGCCTTGGGGTTTATCAGGAAGGAAACTCACAGTTTGTAACTTTTGGAGCTCCAAGGGAACAGGGTGGGGGTGAAGGAAATAGCTCTCGCTGGCTACAATGTTGCTCCCCCCGCTGGGATCCGTTTGTTGTTTGGGGGTTTCTTGTTGTTGAGACAAGCTCCAGGACCCAGGAGCTGAGAAAGCTGGTTTTGCTGCAGCCCTGCTGAATTGCTTGCACAGCAACTCACACAGCACGCCCTGGCCATCTGCACATGTGGTTTCAATTTTTCTGGGAGTTTCTTATGGGAAAATGTGTCTATATGTAACAAAAATGCACCTTTGGAAAGAACTTCTATTTTCTTTCCTCCAACTGCAAGGATTGCACTAAACGTCCTGCTTGCCCTCCTCCACACATTGTATTTTAACTTCTAAATAAATAATTCAGGGTTGCTATTGGAAAAAGGGATTATTGGGCTGCAGAGGGGCATGGAGGACACCCGCTCTCGTTCTTTTAATTATTAGCTATTAAAAGTTTTACTTTGCAAAAGTTTCGCCTGTTCGCTTTTATAAAACATTTGGGGTTTTGTCCGTGTCTTTTCAGATAAACACAGTTTCCCCATGCCCCTGGGTGCTGGTTCAGGCTGATGGCCACTCTTACTCTTCCAGCTCCTCTCTTCCAGATGGAAGGGGATTTTTCTTCCCCATTCAGGAAGGCTCAGAGTTAGCCTCAAGCATAGTCTGGCTGAGAAATGATTGCAGATATTTTTTTTAATGCCAAAAATGCAGCTTTACTGTTTCAGATTTAGGGAGTCTTAGTTGACCCACGTGGTAGCCACTGTTAAGTTTGAGGACTGTCCTTCATATTTTAAAATGCATTTCCGTGCATACATATGGGTACACATTTATTTTGTAACCTTTTCCACATAATTGCATTCTATTATCATATCGTTCTATGCTTTTTATACTGATTTTGTCTTGGAGCTTTTCCCATTTCATCCTTTATTCACACCTGCATAGCATTCCACATGGTGCCAAAAGGATTTCATTATTCCTCTGACGGTGGCTGCAGGTTACCATTTTCCTTTACTACAGTTGTGGAAAAATGTCTTACAGCTTGGTGTTACAGCTCAGTTGTGACAGCAACCTGGATCAGGGCGACAAACCAAGCAGCACTCAGAGAGTTGGGAGAACTCAGGTTTATTACACCAGCTGGTCCAGAGAAGTTAACACTCCAAGCTCTGGACCCCGTCTGCAGGTTTACACAGGCCTTTATAGCCTGCTAGTTTTACACTTTGCAACATCATATGCAAATAAAGTATAACAGAAGTTGACCAACTAGGAACAAGCTTTGTAGAAATAGACCAATCAGGAGTGAGAGAAATAACCAATCAGGAGTGAGCTCCATGCAAATAAAGTACTACAAATGGGCCAATCAGAAGTTAGGGAAGTGGGCCAATCAGAAGTGAGAGTCATAACCAATCGGGAGTGAAGGAAATAACCAATCAGAGTGAGCTCAGGGAACCAATAGAATTTTAGGGGTAAGTACGCCGTTTCAGAGGCAAAAAGTGAGATAGAGCCTCTGGGCCAGGGAACCCGACGGTGCTGGCAGGAGAGTAGTGGCCCTGCTTGGGGGTCCTGCCAGTCTTTTTATGGGGCTTCCCACCTCACTACTACAAAATACCACAGTCTGTATTTTTCTGTATTTGGCTTTGTGCACATATTGAAACTGAGTCCCTCTAAAACTGAGTTCCTCTGCCAAGTTTATGATTAAACTCTCCACCCAAAATCTGATTCCCTTTCTTGTTCTGAACCTGTTCCACTCAAGTTTGAGGAGTAGCAAAGGAAAGAGGGGACTGAAACCGTATACCAGCCCCTGTGTCCCCGTCCTTTGAAGTAAAGGCTTTTGCTTTGGTCTCCCAGTCCTCCCCTGAGTCTCAAAAAGCTGGCTCAAGAGTTAATAATTAGGAAATGTGAAGATGTTAATCATTAGAAAGAATAGCTGTTGGGCCAGGAAACTGGTAACAATTTAGACTATAAATCCTAGTAGAGTCACCAAACTCCCAGTTCCCTGAAAGATATAAAGCCCTGACCCATACTCCTCAGTTGCTTTTACAGGAAGTAGACTCCACCAGATAAAAATTGTTGACTGCAAGCATGTAGACCCTAGACTGGTTGAAACCAGAAGGTTGATGATGCTTGAAACTTCACCTTGATGTCCACCAGTTTGAGAATTGTGCACCAGCTGATCACACGGCCCACAGCCCCATCCCTCACAGTGCCTTTAGAAACCCCTCCCTGAAGGGAGTTCAGGTCTTTTGAGCATGAGCTGCTTGTTCTCTCTCTTTGGCGCCCTGCAATAAACACTGGACTTTCCTTCACCACGACCCGGTGTCAGTAGATTGCTGCGTACAGGCAAGCAGACCCAAGTTTGGTAACAATATGCAAATACTTTTGGAGGTGAGATTCCTGAGAGCAGACATGCTGGGTCAAAGTTGTACTCATACACATGTGATCATTTCTATGGTGCTAAAGACACACAAGTCAAACAAGAATCCCAAATGAGATTGGTGGATGGTCTCAGTGTTGATTTCCTGACATTGATACTGTCCTGTGATATTGTACTCCAGTTTTGCACAAAGTGATCATTGGGGGAAACTGGGCAAAGCTAGCTGAGATCTCGCTGTATTACTTCTTGCGATTGCATGTGAATCTACAATTCTTAATTAAGCTGTACACTTAAAAATTGAGAGAAACATAGCCAAATCACCCTCCAGCTTTATATGGAGAATTAATTGAGAAGGCCATCGGCATATACATTGTTCACTACTGCACCAGGAAAGATCTGAAGAAGAGTGAACTTGTATTTGGCAGAGGGAGAAACTGACTCCCAAAGTAGACTGGCTGACAAGGAGTTCAACAGAGGGGCAGGAGAGTTGGATACCAGCACCATTCTTTCTGAGCAAAATCTTCATGGTACAGCTTCTTCATTTACTTTTAATTAAATTCCAAGAAGATAAGGTTTTTCCATATTCAAATTGAACTCGACTGTCCATAATGACAACAAAGAAGATTTCCAAGTCGTTGCCTTCGTTCCACAGAGGGAATTAATCATGGGTTAATCTCATTATATTTACAGTGTTGATCAACACTTGTGAACATTGGAGGAGGGGAACTGATTTTTTTAAACTGTTTAACAGTTTTAGGCAGGAATTAGACAACCATTACAAGAAAAGTTCATGCATTTTTCAGGATCTGACACAGTAAGGCCACAATCATTCCTTATGAAGTGTAGTCGCACCACTGGCCAGTGCCTCTGCCCTGCTCCTCACC